CAGGAGGGGAACCTGAACGGCGCCGACTTCTCGCAGGCGAGCGCCTCTCCAAAGCTCTCCCCCCCCCCTCTCCAGATCTCGCCAGATCTCTCCAGATCTCGCCAGATCTCGCCAGATCTCGCCATATCTCGCCAGATCTCGCCAGATCTCGCCAGATCTCGCCTTCTCTCCCCCTGCAGGCGAACCTCCAGGGCGCCAACTTCCGCCGCGCTTCGCTGCAGGCTCTTCCGCACACGGCCGCACCTCGGCCGCACCTCGGCTTCACCTCGGCTTCACCTCGGCCGTATCTCTCGGCTTCACCTCGGCTTCACCTCGTGTGTGTGATGAGAAGTTTCCCTGACCCGACCTGACCTGGCTGACTGCGCGAGCACAATCCGCATCTCCCTGCCACCGGGACCTGACCTGACCTGACCTGACCTGACCTGACCTCTACCTCAGGGTGTCTTTCTGATCCATGCCGACTTGCGCGGGGCGGTCCTCAACAAGGCGAGCTCGAGTGATCTCGGGGCATCTCGGGGCATCTCGGGGCATCTCGGGGCATCTCGGGGCATCTCGGGGCATCTCGGGGCATCTCGGGGCATCTCGGGGCATCTCGGGGAATCTCGGGGAATCTCGGGGAATCTCGGGCGGTCCTCCAAAGGCGAACCTGAACGGCGCGTGGCTCGCGGATGCAAATCTGGAGGTCAGGGCGCCATATCTCGCCAGATCTCGCCAGATCTCGCCACATCTCGCCACATCTCGCCACATCTCGCCACATCTCCCCACATCTCCCCACATCTCCCCACATCTCGCAAGCATGGAGGCGGGGCGCGGACCTGAGGCGCACCTCGCCGCGTCGCCCTCGTGACCATCTCCCCACATCTCCCCACATCTCCCCCCATCTCGCCCGGCCCAGTCTGGTGACCAGACTCTGCGTGTGGCGTTAGGGGGCGTCCTTCTCTAGCAGCGTCGGCGTGTCGAGCGCCGACTTCAGCAACGCGATCGGGTGGGCGGCGGGCTCTCCTCTCTTCTTCTCCCTCTCCCCCACCCTCCCTCTCTCGCCCTCTCTCTCTCTCTCTCTCTCTCTCACATCGTAAATCTCTCTCTCTCCCGCACGCCCGGAGAAAACCGATCAATCGAGGACACACCCGGACACGAGTTAGAGCTGCATAACAGA